ATCTTCTAGAGTACCATTCATCCCCCAATCCTGAAATCAGATGTTTCTCCGAGCCCTGGTTCCTTTTAGTGAAGAACAGTATTCAGAAACCAAAATCTAGGAGCTGGGTATACACGTTATTACAGTGTTGCTGTTTCCAGGTCCTCTATGCATACATACATCCACATCCATAGGTGTATCTCTCCACATTTTTTTTCTGTATTACTACCATACTGAATATATCTTGATATTTTGGGAACCATTAATTCATGCCAGTAGTTCCAATTCCAAATCTACGTTTCAGGATTTATTCTAGTTTCCTCCCTTTTACATATTTACAACCCCATTTCCAACAGAGGAACCTCCCATTGTCCTCAATATATTTCCTTATTTGATCAACCCCTCTACATATAACTAATCTCCTGTCATTGCTGACATCAACCCCACTTCCCTCTTTACACAACACACAAGTACTATCCTCATCCTGCTTTGCTGACAACCCCACCAAGTCACTGTTGCCTCTCAACATGAACACCTACGATTGGTCTGAAACCTAATGGATTTTAGACTAAATTATTAATGAATGAAAGATGGAAGGCACCTGGGGCCTGGTCTTTGTGTGTGTGTGTGCGTGCGCATGCACTTAAGCTCCAAGCTCTTGAACTCCCAGACCTGGGTGTGTGTGTTGCTTAAGCTCCTCTTAAACTCCCAGGCTCAAATTATCCTACTGCCTTGTAAGCCACCATGCCTGGTCCTAGCGGATTACTTTTTAAAAAGCCTCTATTCCTCTCAAACTTTATTTCCTTTTAATGGCCAGGGAGTTGTGCATTGTTTTTATATTCTATTCATGTTTCCTTTAAATATTAAAAAAAATATAAAAGTAGTGTTGGGCGCGGTGGCTCACGCCTGTAATCCGCACTTTGGGAGGCTGAGGCGGGCAGATCGAGTTCAAGCGATCGAGACCAACCTGGCCAACATGGTGAAACCCTGTCTCTACTAAAAATACAAGAAATTTTTTTTAAATTAGCCGGTCATGGTGGTGATAGGGCGAAGCTCTGTCACACACACAAAAAATTACACACACACACACACACACATATGTAACCTGTTTAATCTATTTGGGTCATTGCTTTTATACTCTGTTTCCTTTAAATATTAAAAAAAATAAAAGTAATCTGTTACCTTAATCTATTTGGGTCCGAGGTTTGTATATCAAAGAATACTTACTGTATTATTCCAACCTATTTGGTTTCTAAACTCTGGATGCCAAGTTTGTGTGAAAATGAATGTTAATCTATGGTTCCTAAGCTCATACAGTGAAAATGAAGATAGCAAGGGTTACCCATATTTATAATTACCTTTCAATGCCAAAAATATAATTTTTCCAAAATAAAAATGAAACCTTTGGTGTGCTTTTACTATCATCCCCTGAATCACTTTCAATATTTAAAAATTTTTTATTCTAGTTTACCTTTTCTTTTTTTTTGAGATGGAGTCTCACTCTGTCGCCCAGGCTGGGGCACAATGGCGCAATCTCGGTCACAGCAACCTTTGCCTCCCGGGTTCAAGTGATACTCCTGCCTCAGCCTCCCCAGTGGCTGGGATTATAGGCACCTCCCACCAAGCCCAGCTAATTTTTCTACTTTTAGTAGCGACGGGGTTTCATCAGGTTAGCCGGGCTGGTCTTGAACTCCTGACATCAGGTGATCCACCTGCCTCAGCCTCCCCAAGTGCTAGGATTACAGGTGTGAGCCACCGTGCTCGGCCTAGTTTATATTTTTCAAAAAACATTTGTGTCCCGGTGCAGTGGCTCCTACTGGTAATCCTAGCACTTTGTGAGGCTAAGACAGGACTGCTTGAAGTCAGTTCAAGGCCAGCCTGAGAAACACAGTGAGACCTCATCTCTAATTTAAAATAACAACAACAAAAAAATCTGTCAGTAGGGATTTAAATTTGTGTCTTTTATACACCATTGATTACTTCTGTGCTTTTTTTTTCTTGTGTCTTTCTATTCAGATTCTTTTTCTTTGAAGACACCCTTAACATTTTCCACAAAAAAGCCTGGATAGACTTTCCAAGAATGCTGTCACATGACTGGATTCAACTGCCTCTTACATACAGTAAATAAGAATTTTTTGTTTGGTTGGTTTGTTTTATTTTTGAGGCAGGGTCTCACTCTGTCGCCCGGGCTGGAATGCAGTGACGCAATCTCGGCTCACTGCAACCTCTACCTCCTAGGTTCAAGCCATTCTCCTGTCTCAGCCTCCCAAGTAGCTGGGACTATAAGTGTGAGCCACCATGCCTGGCTAAATTTTTTTTTTTTCTTTTTTGGTAGAGATGAGGTCTCACTACGTTGCCCAGGCTGGTCTCAAACTCCTGGGTTTAAAGCAAACCTCCCACCTAGGCCTCCCAAAGTGCTCGAATTACAGGTATGAACCACCGTGCCTGGCCTACTATGTGAGAATTTTGATGTCAATCCATTCCCTATAAACTTTTTCTTTACTTACAGAATCACAAAATGTGCTGTTTAGTGGATTATTTCTTTCCTTCTAGTGTTTTTATTCTAGAACTTCTATTAAACAGGTATTGGGGCTGGTCATGGTGGCTCATGCCTGCAATCCCAACACTTTGGGAGGCCAAAGTGGGTTTATCACTTGAGCCCAGGAATTTGAGACCAGCCTGGCCAACATGGTGAAATCCCATTTCTTATACTAAAAGCACAAATATTAGCTGGGTGTGGTAGCTCATACCGGTAATCCCAGCTACTCAGGAGGCTGAGGCAGGAGAACTGCTTGCAACTGGGAGGCAGAGGCTGCAGTGAGTGGAGAACATGCCACTGCACTCCAGCCTGGGCAACAAGAGCGAAACTCCATCTCAAAAACAAAAACAAAATCATTTTTAATATCAACACTGATTTAATTAGGGAAGTATTAGGAAGCTATAGTGCTAATGGTTTTCCAAAAATCCCAATTTTCATTTGATTCATGCTAAGGTTCTGGCAGTTTTACCCACCACTGCTTTTATCCCATCAGTAAAACTCTCAATAGAGTGAAAAGTGCAAATAATACCTTAGTATTATGATAACAGTTTTGACCTCATGTTATGTACCCCCTGAGACTGTCCTGGGGAGACTCCCAGGGGTTTGTGGCCCACCATGAGCTCCACTGACCTAATTAATAATAGACCTAGGCAATGACCATCAAAAAGTCAACCAGGCAGGTGTTTCCGAACAGAATTATATAACCCCAACAATGACGCATTCTTATGAAAATTCAACACTGAATCTGATCAAGACTTTAGATTTAACAACTAGTTTATGACATACGCAGGAAACAAATAATCAGCGAAATCTCAAATGTAAACTTCTCAGGACAAATAAGTTGGTTCTTTAAAACATAAGCTGGGGGCAAAGATGAGAGAGAAAAACCTACATATCAAGAAACTTTAAAACCAAGCAATTGTTGGTCAGGTGCAATGGCTCACACCTATAATCCAAACACTTTGGGAGGCGGAGGCGAGCAGATCACTTGAGGTCCGGAGTTCGAGACTAGCCTGGCGAACATGGTGAAACCCTGTCTCTACAAAAAATGCAAAAATTAGCCTGGCGCAGTGGCGTGTGACTGTAATCCCAGATACTTAGGAGGCTGAAGCAGGAGAACTGCTTGAACCTGGGAGGCAGAGGCTGCAGTGAGCTGAGATCATGCCACTGTTCTCCAGCCGGGTCAACAGAGCGAAACTCCAACTCAAAAAACAAAGTAAATAAAAAAACAAACAAACAAAATTAGCTAGATGTGGTGGTGCACGCCTGTGGTCCCAGCTAATCAAGAGGCTGTGGCAGAAGAATTCAGCCCAGGAGTTTAAGGCTGAAGTGAGCTATGATCACGCTACTATACTCCAGCCTGGGCAACAGAGCAAGACTTTGTCTATATTTTTTTTTTCCTGAGACAGGTTCTCAGCTCTGTCGCCCAGGTTGGAGAGCAGTGGCATCATCTCAGCTCACTGATGCCTCAACCTCCTAGGCTCAAGCAATCCTCCCACTTCCGTTTCCCAAGTAGCTGGAACTATAGGTTGCACACCACCACAGCCAACTTATTATTATTTTTTGATACAGAGCCTCACAATGCTGCCCGGGCTGGAGTGTAATGGCGTGATCTCGGCTCACTGCAACCTCCGTCTCCAGGGTTCAGGTGTTTCTCCTACTTCAGCCTCCCCAGTAGCTGGGATTACAGGCATCTGCCACCAAACCCGCCTAATTTTTTATATTTTTAGTAGAGATGGGGTTTCACTGTGTTGGCTAGGCTGGTCTCGAACTCATGACCTCAGATGATCTGCCTGCCTTGGCCTCCCAAAATGCTGGGATTATAGGAGTGAACCACCACGTCTGGCCTAATTTTTATATTTTTTAGTAGAGATAGGATTGTACCATGTTGTCCAGGTTGGTCTGAAACTCCTGAGCCCAAGTGATTCGCCCGCCATGGCCTCCCAAAGTGCTGGGATTACAGGCATGAACCACCATGCCAGGCCAAGACAAACAAAACAAAACAAAAACAGTATAGATGAAAGGCAGCCAGCTTGGGTTCAAATCCTACCATTGCTACTTATTATTAAATAATTATAAGAATCTTAGGAATGTTACTTTACCTCTCTAGCACCTTGATTTTCAAATCTGCAAAGCAGGATAATAACGCCTATTTCATAACATTGTTGTTAAGGATTAAATAGGTTAACATAAGTAAAATACTTAAAAGTAATGCCTGGCACATAGTAGGCACTAAATGTTAGATACAATTATCATCCTGCGAAAATAATTAACATAAAATTAAAAATCAGTAGATAGCCCAAATTGCCCTTTTTTGGCATAATGAGAAACAGATTTCTAAAAAGACAGTAAGAAATCAGTATTAAACATTGTACAGGATAGGAGATCAAAAGCATAGCTATACAAATGGTTCATTAAAAAAACTGATACACTGACACCCTGAAAATGTCAGATTTTTCAGAATGATTAAACTCACTAAACATCTGTAAACCATAATAAATTTATTTCATTTCTTTTAAAGATTTAATGATATACAAAATGTATATAGTATAATATCTTTAAGTAATACACTTTTTCTTTCTCCCCACCCCCAATCAACATTAAACACTATTTAAACAGCTTATCATCTCTTGCCTTGTCTGTATCTATGAGATACACTACTGAATACAAATAAGCTTTATACTGCTCCCTTCCAAATAAAAATTAAAATTAGTACCAAGGAAACAAATAGAAAAAGAAAAAAAAATTAAAGCATAAAATTTTTAGTCCAATGAAAAGCTTTTCTTGTTATCGTTGAATATTCAACAATATCTGGGGCTGTTAAATTACATTTTATTGGCATAAGGTTGCATTGCAATCTGCCAGTATCACATAATGATAATCCAACTGAATTAATTTCTTAGGTACCACAAACAGCATTCATGTTTAAATGTTCTAACACAATTTTAAATACATGCAAGAGTTCATGTTTACATTCTGATTTGATATGCCAATCAATAAAATCTCCGGAGAAGTATCTAAGTTCCGGGTTGTTGCTGTGGATATAGATAGGGAAAAAGTACTTCCCTTGATGAGTGAGTTGGGTTTCTCCTTTTATAATTTAGGTTATATATCAGTTTACCATGGCTTTCTTCTAGTTAACAGTGACTTGATAAAACAATGTTAAAAACCCAACTATCACTTTTACACAATTTGGGTTCTATTTAACAAAAAACTGGCTCTGTCTTTAAATATGGAGCCTAACCCTGATTCATAAATACCATCCCTCTTGAAATGGTCTTCAGCTCAGTTCTTCTCTGTGAACCTAGAATTAGAACAAGTCATTTCCCTTCCTGTGGCGAACGAGCATCTAGTTGGGAAGCCAGTGATATCATCACTGAAACACATTAAACACACTAAGAAAAATTTTGACGGCCATTTAACCAAAAGGCTAAGTGATTTCTTCATTTTCCTAGTTGAATGGCAATAAACCAGCTGCCAATAAAATCTGCATGAACATCTACCTTTGGTTAATGGTATTGCACCACATAAGAGGGCATCACCCTCATCAGAACAAAGTCAAATGAGATCCTCTGCTATATAAAGAGCCCTTTAGAAAGTTATAAATACTAATTATCAATTACCTTTAAAATTTCTCAGCTGCCAGCTCTATCCTATACGGAGTTTCTGACTGATGAGTTTAATCAGGTCAAAAGAATATTGACCTTTTAACTGTGCTGGAGTCAGCAAATTCAACTTGCATACACCTTTCTATATTACCAAACAATTTCCTCCTGAGGGAAAAGTGACACAGCAACATTTCTGCGAGATGCAGACAAAACCAATGATTCAGTAATATTAATATTATAACATCAGACGAACAGAATTAGTTGATTCTGATTCTTTGGTGGAATTTCCAGGCTGAAGACTCAAATCTGAAGGCTCATCCTGAGGAAATATAATCTTATCAGGCGTATAATCATTCCTCTTCAGATCTACATTGAGCACCCAAAACAATTTAAAAAAAAGAGAGAGAAAGAAAATTTAGAAAAGTTAGTATTTCGTGTTTTTTAGAAATGGAGAATTAGAAACATTTTCTTTTTATTTTTGAGATGGAGTTTTGCTCTTGTTGTACAGGCTGGAGTGCGATGGCATGATCTCGGCTCACTGCAACCTCTACCTCCTGGGTTCAAGCAATTCTCTTACCTCAGCCTCCCGAGTAGCTGGGATTACAGGCATGTACCACTACGCCCAGCTAATTTTTTACATTTTTAGTAGAGACGGGGTTTCTCTATGTTGGTCAGGCTGGTCTCCAACTCCTGACCTCAGGTGATCCGCCCACCTCAGCCTCCCAAAGTGCTGTGATTACAGGCATGATCCACTGCACCCGGCTGAATTAGAACATTTTCTACTCAATTTTTCTCCAAAAATGTCAGACTTGTTTTCCATCAGGTTGTTATAGTCACCAAATTTAAGCACATAAAAATAAAGTCATTCATTCATTCAACAAATAATTACATATTGCCCATGAGTCAGGAACTCATGTAGGCATGCAAATGTAGCAAAGAACAAACCAGACAAGGTCCCTGGTCTCAATGAGCTTATATTCTAGTGGGTGACAAAAAATAAGCAAACAGAAAAATGATAGAATTATAAGCAGTAAAAAGTGCTTTGAAGGCAGGGTGCAGTAGCTCATGCCTGTAATCCCAACATTTTGAAAGGCTGAGGTGAGAGAATCATTTGAGGTCAGGAGTTCAAAAGCAGTCTGGCCAACGTGGTGAAGTCTCTCATCTCTACAAAAAATACAACAATTAGCCAGGCATGGTAGCGTGTGCCAGTAGTCCCAGGTACTCAGAAGGCTAAAGTGGGAGGATTGTTTGAGCCCCAGGAGGCAGAGATTGCAGTCAGCCAAGGTCATGCCACTGCATGCCAGCATGGGTGATAGAGTGAGACCCTGTCTCAAAAAATCAAATCAAATCAAATAAAAAATAAGAGTATCCAAGTAGAAATACAGGTAGTTGAACACAGAAACAGAGCTTGGGAAAGATATTAGGTCTTCAGATAAATTTGCTATGATCAGTATATAAAATATATTTATAGGTATTGGACAGGAAAAAAGAAGTTATAGACATATAGGAATAGTTGTAGAACTGGAAACAATGCAGTAATATCAACATTATAAACTAAATCATGCATAAACATACACACATATGCTTTTTTCTTTATTTTACCTTTTTTTTTTTTTTTTTTTTTTTTGAGACGGAGTCTTGCTCTGTCACCCACGCTGGAGTGCAGTGGTGTGACCTCCACACACTGCAATCTCTACTCCTGGTTTCAAGCAATTCTCCTGCCTTAGCCTCCTGAGTAGCTGGGATTATAGGTGCCTACCACCACGCCCAGCTAATTTTTGTATTTTTAGTAGAGATGGTGGGGTTTCCCCATGTTGGCCAGGCTGGTCTCAAACTCTTGACCTCAGGTGATCTGCCCACCTCCACCTGGGATTACAGGCCTGTGCCACGGTGCCCAGACTCCTTTTTTCTGTCTTTCAATTTCTTAAAAAAAAAACCCCGAGATACATGTGCAGAACGTGCAGGTTTGTTACACAGGTTTATGTGTGCCATGGTGTAAACCTTCATATATATATATATATATATATATATATAGTTTGTACTTTTTAGTGGAGACGGGGTTTTGCCACGTTGGCCAGGCTGGTCTCAAACTCCTGACCTTGAGATCCTCCTGCCTCAGCATCCCAAAGCGCTGGGATTACAGGCATGAGCCACTGCTCCCAACCAACCCTTACATTTCTATCTCCATATAAAATATAACTGATGCTCAGAATATGAACTGATTTTTTATTTCTTTAAAAAAATAAAAATATTTGACCTTACTGAATCATAAGCTGCTAATTTTAATCTAAGAAACAGCCTATCATAAATAATCCAAACATATATTTGCAAATACATGAATTATTTTTGATAAATTTTAAATGTAAGACTATGTCAGTATGGCTTTAGGCAATACAAGCTAATCTGCAATTATTGTACAAAGAACAGTGGAAAGAAACATAATTATACCTCGTCTTAATTATGTCATTAACTAGTACGTATATCAATGAGCAAATCATCTCAACTTTAATTATATGATCTAGAAAATGAAGGATCTGGGCCAGATTTTTTTTTTTTTTTGAGATGGAGTCTTGCTGTGTCACTCAGTGGCACAACATTTGCTCACTGCAACCTCTGCCTTCTGGGTTCAAGCAAGTATGCTGACTTTCACTACACCCACTCAACACTGTGCTGGAAATCCATGCCAGTACAAACAGTCAAGAAAAATAAAAGACATGCTGGCTGAAAAGAAAGAAACTGTCTTTATTGCCTACACAAAAAAATCCCAAGAAGTCTATTACAAAAAGCTCCCAGAAAGAGTTAAGCAAGGTTGCAGGGACATAGCTTAAAAAAAAAAAAAAAAAACAATGGCATTTCTGTATACTAGCAATAAATAAAAAACAAATTTTAAAAAAAGTTACCATTTACATACCTAATAATGCTTATTATATGCTGGTACTATTGTTCTATGTACTTCACAAAACCAACTCATTAAGTCCTCAAAAAATCCTTGGTGATGTAGGTATTCTCTGGAGCCATGCATACTGGCTCTCAAGTCTAAGCTCTTAACTATGACACTAGTAGTCATAAGAAGTGGAACTTTTAAAAATAAACCTCAAGGGCTAGGCATGGTGGCTCATGCCTGTAATCCTAGCACTTTGGGAGGCCGAGGTGGGTGGATTACTTAAGCCCAAGAATTCAAGACCAGCCTGGTTGACACGGCAAAACCCCATCTCTACAAAAAAAAAAAAAAAAAAAAAATATATATATATATATATATAAATTAGCCAGGTGTGGTGGCATGTGCCTGAGGTCCCAACTACTTGGGAGGCTGAGGTGAGAGGATCACTTGAGCCTGGGAGGTAGAGGTTGCAGTAAGCTGAGATTGCACCACTAAACTCTAGCCTGAGCAACAGAGTGAGGTGCTGTCTCAAAAATAAATAAAAATAAATAAATAAAACAGCTCAAGGGTGAGTCCTAGACATCAGTAATTTTAAAAAAATTTAATTTTTAAAGAGACAGGGTTTCACTATGTTGCCCAGGTTGAAGTATGCACTACAGCTCTCAACTCCTGAGGCTCAAGCTATCCTCTGGTATCAGCTTCCTGAGTAGCTGGGATTACAGGCATGTGTCACTACTCTTGGCACAGTAACTTTTTTTGAAACGGAGTCTTGCTCTGTTGCCAGGATGGAGTGCAGTAGCGCAATCTTGGCTCACTGCAACCTCCACCTCCTGGGTTCAAGTGATTCTCCTCCCTCAGTCTCCCAAGTAGCTGGGATTACAGGTGCATGGCACCATGCCTAGCTAATTTTTTATATTTTTAGTAGAGATGGGGTTTCACCATGTTGGTCAGGATGGTCTCGATCTCTTGACCTTGTGATCCGCCTGCCTCAGCCTCCCAAAGTGCTGGGATTACAGGTGTAAGTCACCACACCTGGCTCAGAGTAATTTTTTTTAAAGTTCCACAAGGAACTTGATGCACAACAAAGAGAGAATCACGGGTTTTTGCTTGAATTTATAATTAAATAACCTGTAATTCTCCACACAGAAAGATGATGTTACTATCATGAGACAATACATTTACCGTTCCTGTTCCTGCTTGATCAAATACTCTTTTCTCAATTCTTCTGCAAGGCTTACTTGAAAATTTATTCATTCTCCAAGTAAAGGCAAATACATTAGTTTCTCAGGATCATTCCCTGACCTATGTTTGAGTTAAGGGACCTGTCTACATGTTTTACAGCACTCTATTCTGGTTTTCCTCTCTCTGGCATTTATCAGTCCTGTAACTCCCTGCTAATCTAGTCAATATTCGACATTAGACTAAACTCCATGAGGGCAGGGACCACAGCTGTCTGGTTTGATATTCTGCTTTTAACACCTAACACAATTCCTGGCATTCTGCTGACATATAATATATTAAATGAATAAACTTTATGTCTGTACAAGTAATGAAAGAAAAACATTCATTTATAACAAATGATGTGTATTTGCAAAGGAGCTCCTGAAGCTGGCACAATTAGAGACCATCATATTAAACCTTTGTACCTCTGTCCTTATGAGGTATTGCAGTAACCAATTTTTGTAACAATTTATATACCATACTGATTAAGGTATTTTTTACCTGGAAGTTTAAGCTTTCTACAGCAAGAATTACAGTGATGTTTTGCTCTGAAGTTTTTAATTGCATCTTCTCCTAGATTTGCTGGGCCAAAAACCATATCACAGGATCTGTGGAATTGGTAATTTAAAAAAAAAATTACAAAAAAAGGCAGTTTATGCAGGTACAAATGTAAAATGTGAAATTATGCCTTAATGAAATAGTTAAAACATATTACCTCTTTTCTTCTGCTTTTATCACAGACGGGTCAGTCAAATTTTCACCAACACCTTTGTGTGTGTATATAAAAAAAAATTTATATAATTGATATAAATACTGACATTTGCATAATATCATCTTAAGAGATGTTAAAGTATCATCAATCATTACAATATTGAACTATTCAAAGGAGTATAGTTCTTCTCTCTTGATATTTCATAATTTAATTTATGACCCTGGCATTCTACCAGGGAGAGGCACAGCCCCTTGTAATGTGAACAAGAGTTCAATGTCAGAGTCGGTAGGTAGGCATGTAGTTCCCAATTCTACAGTGCCAAGGATGCAAATACCACCTTACTTATAAAAGGTCTGGTCAATCTGCCCTTGCTTCACCTTAGTTAGCAAAGAACAATTTGGTACATGAAGGAATAATCCGTAGCACTTTCAAAAGTGTTTTTCGGATTGGCCAGGCTCGGCGACTCACGCCTATAATCCCAGCACTGTGAGAGGCTGAGGTGAGTGAATAACCTGAGGTCAGGAATTCCAGACTAGCCAGACCAACATGGTGAAACCCCGTTTCTACTAAAAATACAAAAAAAAAAAAAAAAAAAGTTAGCCAGGTGTGGCAGGTGCCTGTAGCCCCAGCTTCTTGGGAGGCTGAGACACGAGAACCGCTTGAACCCAGGAGGTGGAGGTTGCAGTGAGCTGAGATCGTACCACTGCACTCCAGCCTGGGCAACAGAGCAATACTCCGTCTCAGGAAAAAAAAAAAAAAAGTGTTTGGGATCTAAAGAAAAAAACACACACATTAACACATAGCATATGTCCTTACAAAACATTCATGCATTCATGTAACATAAAGAGTAAGATTGTGAAAGTCTTTCTTCACCTCCAGCCCTCTCCAAAAGTATGATTAAATCCTTCCATTCTCTCATATATTCACGCGTATATGTAAATATATATACACACATATACATACCCTTAAGACCTACAGATACTTTGATAATCACAAATATTTAAGCCATTAGAACAAAATCTAATAAAATGGTTCAATTTCACAAAGGGAAAACCCAGAATTAAAACATGATATTATTTTCTACCCAACAGAATGGCAAACACTAAGAATATTCAATACTGGAAAGACTATGAGAAGCAGGAACTTCCACAGAATGCTGAGTATGATTTCTGATAAGCTTTTGGGAAAGTAATCTGGCAGCTGTTATTAAAATTAAAGTTGTACTCATCTCTTTTCTAAGCCAATTTAGGAACTTACTTAATGGAAATAAAAGTAGCAGTGAATGGAGTATGGTTTGCTGCGGCACTGTTTGTGGAAGCAAAAAACTAAAAATAGAGTGAATGTCTATCAAGACAGGTGTAAATCATGCTATCGCTGCTACACTATAGACTATCACACAGCTACTAAAGAAATAACTCTAGAAAATGTCCATGATATATTGTTAGACAGAAAAAAAAAGTAGAGAAAAAAAGAAAAAAAAACCTCATGATCCCAGTTGGGGTAAAACCCCAAATAATAAAAAATAGCGAAAAAAGTCTCCAATTGTGTATATGTTTTCACAGAAGTAGAGAAATAAAAATGATAGGAAAACTTTATTCTTTACATATCTTTACATACTACTGTTTAACTTGTAGTAATTATCTAAAATACTCCTGTGTAAAAACTGCTCAGTAAGGCCGGGCGCGGTGGCTCAAGCCTGTAATCCCAGCACTTTGGGAGGCCGAGGCGGGTGGGTCACGAGGTCAAGAGATCGAGACCATCCTGGTCAACATGGTGAAACCCCGTCTCTACTAAAAATACAAAAAATTAGCTGGGCATGGTGGTGCGTGCCTGTAATCCCAGCGACTCAGGAGGCTGAGGCAGGAGAATTGCCTGAACCCAGGAGGCGGAGGTTGTGGTGAACTGAGATCGCGCCATTGCACTCCAGCCTGGGTAACATGAGTGAAACTCCGTCTCCCAAAAAAAAAACTGCTCAGTAAACATTATGTTGAGATGGAATGTACTTGGTGAAGATGCTGTGGACATTGTTCAAACGACAACAAGGAATTTAGAATATCACATAAACTTTGTTGATAAAGCAGCAGTGTTTTAGAGGGTTGACTCCAATTTTGAAAGAAGTTCCACTGTGGGTAAAATGCTATCAAATGGCAGTGTGTGCTACAGAAAAATCATTCATGAAAGGAAGAATCAATAAATGTGGCAATCTTCACTGTGGCCAGGCAGTGGTTCATGCGTGTAATCCCAGCATGAGCCACTGCCTGGCCACAGTGACGTTTGGAACTGCTTGAGGTCAGGAGTTCAAGACTAGCCTGGGCTACCTAGTGAGACACCCATCTCTACAAAAAATTTTAAAAATTAGCTGCATGCAGTGACATGAGCCTGTAGTCCCAGCTATGCAAGAGGCTTAAGCAGGAGGACGGCTTGAGCCTGAGGAGTTTTGAGGTTACAGTGAGTTGTGATTGAGCTACTGCACTCCAGCCTGGGAAACAGAAGGAGACCCTGTCACCATTTAAAAAAAAAAAAAGGAAACAAAGAGAGAAAGAAAGAGAAATTGCTGCAGTTATCCCAAACCAGCACCTACCAGTTAGCAGTCATCAACACGGAGGCAAGACTTCACTAGCAAAAAGATTACAGCTTGATGAAGGCTTAGATGATTCTTATCATTTTCTAACAATAAGGTATTTTTAAATTAAGGCATTGTGTTCTTCATATACAATACTATCACACACTTTAGACTACAGTATAAATATAACATTTTTTTTTTTTTTTTTAAGACGGAGTCTTACTCTGTCGCCCAGGCTGGAGTGCAGTGGCACCATATTGGCTCACTGCAGCCTCTGTCTCCTTGGTTCGAGCAATTCTCCTGCCTCAGCCTCCCGAGTAGCTGGGATTACAGGTGCCCACCACCATGCCCGGCTAATTTTTAAATATTTTTAGTAGAGACAGGTTTTTACCATGTTAGCCAGGCTGGTCTCCAACTCCTGACTTCAGGTGATCTACCTGCCTCAGCCTCCCAAAGTGCTGGGAGTACAGGCATGAGTCACAGCGCCTGGCCAAATATAACTTTTATATGCACCACAAATCCAAAAAACTCATGTGACGTGCTTTATTACAACATTTGCTTTATTGCAGTGGTCTGGAACTGTGCCTGCAGTATCTCTAAGGTAAGCCTGTAATTTTAAACTTAATTGTATTGGCTGGCCAACCGCGGTGGCTTACAACTGTAATCCCACTACTATGGGAGGCCGAGGTGGGTGGATCACAAGGTCTCGGGTTCAAGACCAGCCTGGCCAACATGGTGAAACCCCGTACTTACTAAAAATACAAAAAATTAGCCAGGTGTGGTGGCGTGCACTTGAAATCCCAGCTACTCTGGAGGCTGAGGCAGGAGAATTGCTTGAAATCAGAAGGCGGTGGTTGTGGTGAGTGGAGATCATGCCATTGCACTCCAGCCTGGACAAAAGAGTAAGACTGTCTCAAAAAAAAAAAAAAAAAAAAAAAAAAAACCTGTACTGGCCTAACTCATAATAGACATACGAGTTTTTCATTACATATACCACCTTAATCATTTTTATAAAAGCATGAACTACTGAAAAAAGTACAGTTGTTTTACACAGATTTTCATTCTTGAGCTGAATCAATACCCTGTTTGCTTTTCAACGACTCTTTCCTATTTCTACCTTCACACTGAAGAGTCATTGAGTAATAAACATTCTAAACAATTGTTCTCATGTGATTTAAAATCTGGCCTGTGTTTACATTTGAAATTAAGTCTGCTCTTCAGGGAGAAAAATTATGGAAGCCATAATGAAAAGCAGAGCTGACAACATGCTCAATTTAACTTTCCTTTGACCCACTGTGAAGCTCAGCAGACATTACTCCAAGCAAACCTGCCCTCTTGCAGCCACCACTTTTTTTTTTTTTTTTTTCGGAGGTTCGCTCTTGTTACCCAGGCTGGAGTGCAATGGCGCGATCTCGGCTCACCCCAACCTCCGCCTCCTGGGTTCAGACAATTCTCCTGCCTCAGCCTCCTGAGTAGCTGGGATTACAGGCACGCACCACCATGCCCAGCTAATTTTTTGTAGTTTTAGTAGAGATGGGGTTTCACCATGTTGACCAGGATGGTCTCGATCTCTTGACCTCGTGATCCACCCGCCTCGGCCTCCCAAAGTGCTGGGATTACAGGCTTGAGCCACCGCGCCCGGCCCACTTTTTTTCTTTCATATGTATGACAAGGTCTATCTACTAATATGGCTATGAGCAATTTTTCCCTCTACAGATGCATGTTGTTCTACCCCTCAGGTGCTGAATTTACTTTGACTCCCCTTGAATCTGGGCTACCCTTATAAGTTGCCTTCATCAGTGAAGTGTGGCAAAAGGCATCTCAGCCAGTCCTGGGCCTAGCCTAAAGAGTTCTGCCTTCTCTGTAGAAGAAGCCAGCTGCTATGTAAGAAGCCTAACTACCTGAAATTACGATGCTGTGAGAAAGCCCAAGCTAGCTAGCCATGTAGACAGGGAACACTTGGAAAATTGAGGAATTCAGTTGACAGTGAACAGAGACCTCAGACACTTGACTCCAGTCAAGCTGTTCAATGTCTCCAGTCATTCCAGCCTTCTGAGATGACAGCAGAGAAGGGACATTCCCACTATGTCCCATCAAAATTTCTGAATGAAAGAACTATAAGAAAATAAAATGGCAATTATTTTAAATCCACTAAATTTTTAGGTAGTTCAGTTCACAGTAGGTAACATAAACACCAGGAACACTAGAGATATTTGCTATTTTTAAAGAAAGTCTTTACACTTTTGAAATAATAGACTGCACATCTTAGGACAGGGAATTTTTACAAGTTATTGCATATCAAAGCATCTATATTATCTTAATAGTTAAGATAGCCAGGCTGGGGCATGGTAGCTCACACCTGTAATCCCAGCACTTTGGGAGGCTGAGGTGGGCAGACCTTGAGGTCAGGAGTTTGAGACCAGCCTGACCAACATGGCAAAAACCTGTCTCTACTAAAAATACAAAAACTATCTGGACGTGGTGGTGGGTGATCCCAACTACCTGGGAGGCTGAGGCAAGAGAACTGCTTGAATTCGGGAGACGGAAGTTGCAATGAACCAAGATGGCCCCATTGCACTCCAGCCTGGGCAACAGAGTGAGACTCCACCTGGCGGTTGGAGGGCAGAGACAGCCAGATTCTATTACTCAAGGCCCTGATGGCTATATGCTATGACTGTAACTTGCTTTTTTTTTTTTTTTTTTTTTTTTTTTTTTTTTTTTTTATAGTTTCTACTGGCCTAAGATTTTATCTATCTATAAATTAGCAGATTATACATAGTATAACATATCAATAGGTAAGAACCTACCGCACAATTTCACCTTAGCAATATCAAATAAACTTACCTTGTAAATCAAGTACCAGTAACTCCCCTCTTGTATATTCATAAGTCCAGTGGCTAAAGGCTAGCATGATCTCTTCCAGAGTATTAGTTGGAATAATCTCATCTCCATTATTATTGTTGTATTTTCTAAATTCTCCAGTCATACACTCTTCCACGGCAAACCACTGTCCTGCTGAATGGCAATACAGCAGGAAAACTTCAAGGAACCTTTTAAAAAACAGTTATAAATATTACTAGCAGTTAATAAAATTCTAATTGATCTACAAAATGGGTAAACATTCAACATCAAAAACAAAGGTCAAAATGGACTGCTATCCATATAATAAAAAAGATCCCAGAAAAAATTAAAGATTTACCTTGGAGAATATGGTATGGATTTGGGTTTCATTTGATTAAAGGCAAATGTAAGCTTTTGTGCTGCTCTCTGTTGTTGAATTTCCTACAAAAGTGGAGAGAACCCTTGTTTAATTTTTAAACTAAGATTATATTTGGCTTATTGATATTTCAGAAGTTAAAATATAAAGCTTAAATTATGTTTCACTATTAAACATTCACCACCACTTACTCGCAGACAGAGATGCAGAACTGTATCTTCTTTATAAATACTTGACCATGTATTAACCACCTCTGGAAGAAAAGATTTGATAATATAAAGATGCCCTGATTTGAGGATATCATGTTCTGACCAGGTACACTGTACTTTGACAGCTCTTCGTAAACCTCCTCCCATCTCCTCTTTGCTTAAAAACTCTATTTTGGCACAGAGACCAAGTTGTGACCAAGAAGACATGCTGTTATTTAGTATGTTGGGTGAACTCTCTTCCAAACGATACACTGTGACAGGCTCCCCTGCAAAATGAATGAAAACAACTTAAGATTAAATTATGACTCTTTAAAAATGACAAAGTAAAATAAAAATTAGCAGGTATCTTTCATTAAGGAAGAGAAGATAAAATGGACCAGTGTGTAGTTTTATAAAAAGAAATTTAATAGCCACAGGTAAGAAATACCTCTATATTCATGTGTAATAATAGGCATTTTTGAAATTCTGAGCATTTTACAGAAGACTTTTAAAAAAGCAGCTGAAATTATAAACACTTCTGAACTGAGCACAGAAGTTAGAGCTATCTCTTTCATGGACACTGTGATGTCAATTTATACATGTTACTAGATAGTGGATCAACAACTTTTTAGAATTAGAATATATTGTTGCTTCGGGATATGCCAATAATGGAGAAATTTAATACTTCTGATGTCTCTCTTCTTGTATTCAAACATTCCTCACCCTTATAGTAGTCAGATTAAGAATTTATTTGAAATGGATACTTCTTAATGTGATGCCACCCACATTCTATATTATAGCTACAAATAACTAAAGGGTTAATTTTCCCTTTTATTTCTTTAACTTTTGGATTTACCTCTTGGAGGCACAGGTGTAAATGGAATGCTCTGTGATAACCTCATCAAGTTATTTCTTTCCACAGCTGTATAAAAATGAGAGAGAAATAATGAAATCCCTAAAGGTTCAAAATATTATTAAATTTTGTTTTTAATATTACTGACCTGAGTAATAGTAATTTGTATCCATAGCTGGCTTAAATGGAGAAGTTAGACCTATAATGGCAAATAAATAAATGAGACCATTTAAAAAGTACTAGTACAGTAAAAATGTTAACGCGGATACTCTTATAAAATAATCTTAAATTTCCATCGTGTAACTGTTCCTCACAAAAACAGCAAAAATGAGGAAGAAAAATATGTCCACTGTGCTATATTACCCTATTTCATTAGGCCAGATTAGTGAGAGCTGTGCATTTAGACACCTACAAGAGCAAAATTATGTTTCACACTATTCTAACTCCTGCCTTAAACTCATTTTTCTCATACCTCCCACTCAAAAAGAAAAATCTCTTTTTGATTCTGACATTTGGGGAGTGGGGACTGTAGCCATGTAGCCATTTTAGCAGATCTACCAGAAGAAGATGAACTTCTGGAATGTGAAACATACCCACCAAAAGCCCTTCCCCCATCTTTTTTTTTTTTAATTTTTTTTTTTGTGGACTTGACCTTTAAATGTGGCAATAAGACAAGGACACAAGTCAAATCTGCTATGTGCTAGATTTCTAGAACACAAATAAAAAGAAACCTACTGGCTTGCAGGAAAAGGAAGTTAGTCAACAGTTTTAATACTGCAAAGTATAAAAATATACTTTAAAAATATGTATATACACATACACATGTGCACATACTGTAAGACTATATAGAAGTACCTAATGTCTTCTGCTTGAGAAGACATCAAAGGCTGTCTCAGAGTAAGAGAAGGGGGAAAACAGAGTATTTTGCAAGGCACTGGTATGTAGAGGACAACACTTACAAAGTCATGGAAGCGTTAAAGTATATCCTACGCTTGGGAAACTGCACACAGTTTAGTATGAACAGAACTAATTATATACATACCAGAACGACGTATAGAGCTTTTTGGACATATACCCACCCAGATGTCACTGCAAAATATTCTAATTCTGTAGGTATGTGTTATCATATAAGTGATTCTCTACAAATGATCTAAATATGCAGCTAAGACTACAAATTAATGGGCAAGAATATTGGCATAACTGTGGGAGGTGAGGCTACAGAAACAGGGCATATCAAATTGTTAGGAGGTCAGGCACAGTGGCTCACACCTGTAATCACAACACTTTGGGAGGCTGCAGTGGAAGGACTGCTTTGGGGCCAGGAATTCAAGACAAGCCTGGATAACATGGCAAGGCCCCATATCAACAAAAAAAGTTTAAAAATTAGCCCGGCAAGGAGGTACCCACCTGTGGTCCTAGCTACTCAGGAGGCTGAGGTGGTGGGATTGCTTGGGCCTAGGAGACTGTGGCTGCAGTAAGCAAAGACTGTACCACTGCACTCCAGCCTGGGTGGCAGAGAGATCATGTTTCTGGGGGTGGAGTGGTGGGGGTGGGAATTGTCTAATATGTCACGTTAAAGAACACTGGATTTTATTAAACAACAATGGGCAAAAATGTAAAGTAGAGGAGTGACTATATCAGATCTTTTAGAAAAAGCAGGCTGGGCATGATGGTTCTTGCCTATAATCTCAGCACTTTGGGAGGCCAAGGCAGGGGGATCATGAAGTCAGAAGTTCCAGATCAGCCTGGCCAACAGGGTGAAACCCTGTCTCTACAAAAGTACAAAAATTAGCCAGGCATGGTGATATGCGCCTGTAATCTGAGCCACCTGGGAGGCTGAGGCAGGATAATTGCTTGTACCTGGGAGGTGGAGGTTGCACAGTGAGCCAAGATTGCACCACTGTACTCCGTACTCCAGCCTGGGCAATAGAGCAAGACTCCATCTCGGCCAGGGGTGGAAATCATTTTGGTTGCAGAATAGAACATATTCGAGAAGTAAAACTATAGGCAAGGACCCCAAACTGGCATAACCACTTTGAGAACCTATTTAGTAGTAATTACCAAATGTAAACACATGCTAACGCTGACTCAGCAATTCCATTCCTAGGCATAATGCCAACAATAAATGCATGAGTATTTTTATCAAATAACATGAACAAGAATGCTTATAGCAGCAAGTCATAATAGCCATACAGCGGAAGCTACTGAAATGACCTCCAAATAGCAGAATAGATAAGTAAATTCAATATATTCACAGAAGGAAATCCTATATATTAGTGAGAATGCACAAATTACCACTACACACAGCAATATTGATGCATTTTATAACAATATGCTAAGAGGAAGAAGGAAGGCACCAAACAGTATATACTGTACAATTTCATTTATATAGCCAATATGCATACACATGCAAACACTCACATCCGCCCCAATTGGTGAAACTACTGTCTTAGGGTAAGAAACTATAAGATGAAGTGCAAACAAAGGAATGGGGATATAAGCAAAATTGTTTTTGGGTGCTGATTACATGCCTATACTTACTTTGTAAGAATTCAGTGAATTTTGCACTGTTCTGTATGCACTATATACTTCATTAAAAGGATGAAAAAGTAATGGTCTAAACTGAAAGGAGCAGTGGGATGTATAGTGGAGGATGGATTTTAGAGACACGTAGGAAGTAAATGCAATAGGACTTTGTAACTACAAAGTCAAGGTGGTCAAGAATAACTTGGCTGACTAAAAGTTTCATTTGTTAAAACAGAAAATATTAGAAAAGGAGCAGGCTGTGTAGCAGAGACCAAGTGGGCAGGGAAGAAGTGTGACAGTAAAGAGATCATCATTCACAGGGTGGGTCATGTGTTTGTGAAACATCTATAGTAAGGAGAAATGATAAGAGGGCAGAACTTTTCACTACTGTGGCTTTGTCTAGCTTGAAGTCTAAAATGTCTTACCTAGAATAATATGGTGTATGCTCTAACAGATCAAGTAAGATTCTCATTTTTTCAAATTAAATCTACCACACAGACTCACCATTTAATGTTCCTTCTTCAGGTGGCCTAGAAACACCAAAAAATATAGTATAAGCTGTGCTACAATTTAAGTTTTGGCTATCATTTAATTTTTTGATTTTATAAAATTAACATTATAGAATAAATTACTAAGGAAATTATGATATTGATTCTCTATTTGCCATTTCCCTTAAGCCAATTCCAATCAAAAGACATATATATATATCCATATGTATCTGCTTGTTAATAACTTAATATCTCTAATTTATGTGTAAATATTATTAGCAGTTTGGTGCCAAATTGAAGGTTCTATTCTAATAAACTATTTCATAACTTCTGTATTTTTGGGGATTCATTCCAGTATTGCAACAATACAATGAGATGACTTTGCAGGATGCTAGAAATATTTCAATAGAATTGATGTGCAAAGAACTGATTGAAAAGTAAGTAGATGTCATTTTGCCTCTTGGTTTCTAATGTTGAAAAATATTTTTCCCAATGTTCACTGTAATTATTTCTAACAACATATACTGGCACCAAATGAAGGTTCTTTTATTTCCAAATTCCAGTGTCAGTTAGACACACAGGTATAGCAAAAAGAAGAATGGAACGAGAAAAAAGGAAAACGGGTTAGAGGCTTAGCACTTTCATTATATAACTATGTAGCCTTACTCACGAATGAAAGGACCCCGCCCAGAAAGGGCCTTGGAAGTAGATAATCTTGTCTCTTTCTAGCTCCTACATTCTGCCTGACCCTGTTTGTATCCTGTTGATTTTCATCTTAATAGAAACATTTTCTTATACAAATTATTCTGAACCTAGTATCATCCCTTTGCCTGCTGCTAATCAATCACTCTTTTCTCAGCACCCAAAGAGTTGCCAATCAACTCCACCTTTATAGGTAGTTCTTGGGGTCAGCATTCTGCAAGACAATGTTCTTTTGTTAGACACCAGAATTAACACCAACTTGAAGTACCTATTCTGTATTTACATCTATGGCTTTGGTTATAAAATAAAATATTCCTTGAAGAGGTGTAACTATAGGTAGGTTTTCCAAATGCCATTCCACGGTCAGGATACTTAGTTTGAACAGCTGCTTATCCTGTGGCCCAGGTTTATTTTCTTCTCTATATAGCCAGATTTATTTAAAAAAAAAAAAACAATTATTTTATTTTTTGAGACAAGGTCTTGCTGTCTGTTGCCCAGGCTGGAGTGAAGTGGTGCAACCATGGCTCACTACTCCAGCGCTCAAACAATCCTTCTGCCTCAAGCCTCCTGAGTAGCTGGGACCACAAGTGCACCACTATGCCAGCAAATTTAAACAAAAAACAAAAAAGAATTTTTTTTTTTGGTAGGGATGGGGGGTCTCACTATGTTGCTCACGCTGGCCCCCAACTCCTGGGCTCAAGCAATCCACCACATTGGCCTCCCAAAGTGCTGGGATCACAGGTGCAAGCCACCATGCCTGGCTCAAATTTATTTCTGATTCACAGAAAGGGAAAAACACTGAAGAATAATAATTTTCCCCAAATTTGCCTCTCTGCTCAAGTAATCCATATGGGAGAATAACTCTACCATGCTGCCAGTATCAGATGGTTGTCAAATCAAGACTTTTTTTTTTTTTTTTCTCAAAATCCTTTGGAATTTTATAATACTAATTCCTAGAATGGAAATACAGAGATTATCTTAGATTCACTTTACACTTATGTCTAATCTGTACTAAAAAGTTTCACTTTCTGGGGACAATTACCTGTCAGATTGCCTTTAGTTTCCACTTTTGATTTTGGATTACCACATCAGCTTTCTAGTGGATCTTTCTGTACGCAGGCTTTCTAATGTATACTGTGTACTACTGTTCTAATCATCAAAGTGCTTTCCAAAAGTAGATGCAAGGTTTGATTAGAATGATGCATAGAGAAGGCAAGCAAGTAAAAAATAGTCTCAAACTAGATCTCCCAACAAATTTATTCAGGAATAAGTTAGAAACAGGACTAAGCAATAAAATAATAATTGTATCATTTTTAGGAAGACCTTAGTAGAGTTGCAATTATATGAAAATAATAAATTTTAAATTTATGTATTAACTCATAATAAATTTGTTCACCTATTCTCATCTATGTGAAAAGAGGAGATGATAGAATAAATAATCATCACCAAGAAAAATGTTAAAGCGATGATGAAAACAGCAGGAAAAAAGACAACATTCAATAAGTATGATACTTTTCAAGCTAATGATGAGAAAAAGCTTACTTACATTTCTCTGTTTGATGGTCTATCTTGTAACCAATCCTTCAGTAAAAAAAACACACACACACAAAAAAAAAACCTTACATACAAATCTTTAGAAGCATAACTTTAACTTTTTTCTTGTATTTTAGGAATAAACGCTAAAAATTAACAAAGTTCTTATTTCATAAAACTGAATAAAACAATAATTTATAACTTTATTTACTATAAATATAACTACCATAAGGCTATTCAAGAAGGCAGAAAAAAGAATTCCGTTATTTCCCACAACATAATCTATTCTTTATAAATTTTTATATTGTTTGACAATTCTATTCTCTTAAAATATACATTTGTTTCTGTGATTCTAAAAATAATATGTGACCCTTGTCAAATAACCATCAAATACAAACAGAAAAATTAAAATCATGTAAGCTGTGAATGCTCATGACATTTAGGCATATTTCACTGCAGCCTTTGTTGTGCATATGTGCATATGGTTTTTATTCTGCAATTTTATAATGATCCTCCTAGGTGTGGGTTTATTTTTACTTTCCCAGTTTGAGACTCATTCTGCCTGAATTTGAATGTTCACATAGTTTATCATTTTGGAAAATACTAAACCATTTCTAATCTCTTCAAATTTTCTCTACTCTCTCAAAGCCAGTTAGATATTTTCCCTGTCTCTTTAACATGTTTTCCATATTTTATTATGCAGTTTGTCTTTTTTTTTTTTTACTTTAATCATCTTTTGGACAATTTATTATTATTCAATCCATTTAATTATAGTCGTGCTGCATTTTGGCCCAGTTGAGTAATTCTTCCTTCAGATGTGCCTAATCTGTTAATTAACCCCTACTTAGAGGGTTTTTTTTTGAAATGGAGTTTTGCCTGAAGCCCAGTCTGGAGTGCAGTGCTGCAATCTTGACTCACTACAACCTCCAACTCCTGGATTCAAGTGATTCTGCTGCTTCAGCCTCCTGAGTAGCTGGGATTACAGGCATGTGCCACCACACCAGGACAATTTTTGAACTTTAGTAGAGATGGGGTTTCGCCATGCTGGCCAGGCTGGTCTTGAACTCCCGACCTCAAGTGATCCACTTCCATTGGCCTCCCAAAGTGCTGAGATTACAGGCATGAGTCACAGTGCCCAGCCCCTACTTAGTTTTTTTTATTTCAAATTTTTTTCAAATTTGAGTCTTTCTGAATAGTATCTTCTTTTCTTGTGTTTTAATACATTTTTATGTCTATAATCACTTCAACCATACTTATCATCTGTAACCAATAATTCTACTATCTTAAGTTAGAAATCTAATACTCTTTATGTAAGTTGACTCCCGTGAGTTTTCTAAATTGCCATTGTGAGGTCATCTTCAATAAGGCTTTAACTTGTTGCAAAGTTGTGCAGCTCAGGGTCAGGATGGGTCCCTCAAAAAAGGAGGATTTGTTACCGTGAATCTGTGTTAACTAACCTGTCCCCCCACTGAAATAACTTTTTTCAATAACATGATTTTAACAACACAATCTCTCTATGCCAGAACAGATATATTTTGAATGTTAAGTCAATATTTTCTTGATCAAAATTATGAGCACTGACGTCTATATATTTGACTATAAAGGAGTAATTTTTCTGCCTTCTTCTGAGCTTTTTGTCTTGTCAGTGTGTGCTTTTAAAGGGAATTTGCAAAATCAATTATTATCTCAGCTGGAAATGAGTTCATATAATTAGCTTCAATTCAAACAAAAAGAGACTCCTGCCTTAATGCTGCATAAATTTTTCTTTAAAATTCCTGACTATTCAACGTAAGAAGAAACTTTTTTATAACTTTTTCTATAAACTAAAAAAGTTTTCTAAGGAAAAGTTTTTTGAGTTTTTCATATAGTCCCAAATATCACCACTTTGTAGTTCTTCTCTAAAAAATTTTAATGTATTTAATAATATATATTGCTTTAATTGAAATTTACAAACCGATATTAAAGCTGTTTTGGAATCTACTTCACAAGTGTCTTCGGTAGATGGCCTTCTACTGATTTTTTCTGCTAAAAGAAAATTTAAAAATATAAATAAAGTTACACAACTGAAGTTCTATGAATACCAACTAACCAAACACAAAGCTTTCCAGGCATAGTATAACCTTCATAAGATAACTCAACCTCTCCTCAATACGTTGAACACAAGAGTTATATGAGAACCATAAATTATTCTATTTATTTTCAGTAAACTATTCAATTTATTTTGAAAAGGCAACAATAAATGAAGTAAAAAAATATTTCTCTCTCTCCTGTTCCCAAATCACCCTGACTGAGAGCAGTGAAGGTAATTCATTTCTTGTATATTCTTCCTGGGATAGTTGTATTTGTGTATTATCCTCACCATCCACTCCAATACTTAACATAAATGGTAGGGAAATATATATCTTGAGGTTTTTGTTAGTTTTTTTTTTTTCTGAGACGGAGTCTCACTCTGTTGCCCAGGCTACAGCGCAGGGGCATGATCTCGGCTCACTGAAACCTCTGCCTCCTGGGTTCAAGTGATTCACCTGCCTCAGCCTCTTGAGTAGCTGGGATTACAGGTGTGTACCACTATGCCTGGCTAATTTTTATTTTTAGTAGAGACAGTGTTTCACCATGTTGGTCAGGCTGCTCTTGAACTCCTGACCTCGTAATCCGTCCACCTCAGCCTCCCAAAGTGCTGGGATTACAGGAGTAAACTACCACACCTGGCTCTTGTTTTTTGTTTTGTTTTTAAACTTTAAGCTTTGAGATTTTTTTCTTTTTTCTTTTCTTTTTTTTTTTTTTT